ATTAAAGTGCATTTATTAAGCAAACGTTAGACTGAGACACACCTCTGCTATAATTTCAAGCAAACAAATAATTGTTTTAGGTGCTTTTCTAGCTAAATTTCAAAGAAACAAGCAGCGTTCCTCCTTATTTTTTTCCTCTCTCTGCGCACTCCCGGAGCACCGAGGCAGCAAAACTATTTTTGAAATTTAGCTTATTTGACCATTAAAGTGCATTTTTAAAGGAATAGTTCAACTGAGACACATTTTCTATAATGTCGAGCAAACAAATAATTTTTTTAGGTGGTTATCTTATAAAATTTTTAAGGAATGCGGAGGCTCATTCCTCTGCGCATGCCCACCACTTCCACGAATCGGCTTTTGAAATGCAGCTGATTTGACCGTCAAAGTGCATTTATTAAGCACAAGTCAGACTGAGACACACATTTACTATAATTTCGAGCAAATAATTGTTTTTAAGTGTTAATCTTGTTAAAGTCTTATTAAAGTCCTCCCGTGCACACTCCCGTGGTCACCATTTGGCAGCCCATCGATTTTTGGCACAACACCGGCCCACATTTCCGGGTTGTCAGCGGTGACGCGTAACAAACGCAACGCATCAGCGGTGATGCATAATAGATGCGACGTATACAGCGGAGCAACATATTTATGGATTTTTCCACTTTATTAGACAAATATGGACTGATGAGACTTATAGGGCGGAGCGACGTGTGCGGCGGAAAATGCGGTAATTTCACTGACATTAACCTTTGGTGTGGTAGTAGCTGAGCGTGAGCTACAACATATATTTTCAGTGCTAACATATTGCACAGAAAGTTTGTTTAAAATTTGACCATAAAGTATTTGGAGTTAAATCTGTCTGTTAACAAAATAGCTCATGAACCACTGCTCAAATTTGAATGAAAGTTTCAGAAAATAATAATTTAAATGAACCTTCAAAACTGTTTAAATTTTGCATTCAACTTACTTCAAGACAGCCACTGTAGCTAACTCACTGTAGAAAATACAAACAATGGCTATAATTCAGTCAGTTTTACGGATGTTGAGCTACAATTTGGTACCACTGAAGCTGACAGTACGTCCTCTGAGCGCTGCCTATTGCTCGAGATCTTTAAGCGTTGGGATCAGTGTTAGGCCTTTCATTTATTAAATACATCTTTCTTCTTCCTTTCATTTTTTTGTTTTGTTTTAGAGGTTTAGGTTTAATCAGTTCTTTTCATGCTGGCCTAATTTACCTTTTTAATCGCTTTTATATTCCAAGCCTTAATATTTGTCATTCGGTTAATTACCCAAAGCATGACGCAGGCGTGTTGGCAGGGCCGAGCGGTGCAGGGTACAACAGTTTATCTGTCAGCCGAGTCATTCTCCACGTCTCAAGCAGCCCGTTGTCACCGAGCCACAACATTTCAGCGCAGCAGCGGCGTCCTGCTCGGCGCTGAGTCGTGGTGACTGGAGAATGAGCTGTAGAGATGCTGACTGGGACCCAGGTGGTCCCGCGCAGATAGACGGGTCTGCTCTGTGCACACATGGCCGGACCCTCAGTGATTGACTGTCAGACCCTCGGAGAGAATAAAGAAACAGGAGTGTGTGCGTACGTTTTTGAAAATGTGGCTATAAGACGAGCTTCAGAAGCAAACTTTGTGTAATAACCACATTGGTGGACCCCCCGGGTGACTATGCACCCTGTCCTACCTCCAAACCAGCCCCCCTGCTAAGTGTATGAGCCGTGGGTTAATTGTCATGCAGTGAGGTAAAATTATGGGTGCGGGAGGTCTCTGCACCTCAACAAAAGTCCCCATCTGCTCCCCTCCCTAACACAACCACCCTTCTTCATCCTTCCTGCAACCTACAACTAATTCCTGGAGCGGTGCAGCAAGAAAAGGCGCCGCTATCTCTTATTAAGACCCTCTGCTTGACGCCCCACCCCCTCGTTTAAGTGCACACACTCTCACATACAGCGCAGCCTCGTTCACGGCCTTACAGAGAACACTGAGGGGAGAAAAAGGGTGGGAGCGAGAAAACCCATGAAAAAAAATGGGAAGTAGTCAGCAGGCTTGAGTTTTTTTTTCTTCTTCTTCTTCTACCCTCGCTCTCCCCTTTCCTTTTTTTTCTGATTTACCGCGCTTTCCTCAGAAAGCTCCATTGTTCCCCTCGCCTAAGTCTCATCAGGCCTTTTGTGGCTGACTATCACAGCGGCAGGCAGAGAGCTGGAAATGTATAAATGGTATCATGCCTTGTGATTAATGGCGGTGCTTATGAGTCAGGTCTGATAACAGGCCTGCTCTCTACTCAATTTCAGATACCGTTAATGGAATCTGTCTTCTGCGATTGTAATGTGAGAGCGCCTAATTTGCTATGGAGCTTGAAGCTGTCACCGGCAAGGGATTGTGGGGTCATAAGGGACCTGGCAGCCGTTTGGCCTGCAGCTTGTATCTGCGGTGCTGAATAGAGCAGCTCTCTGCCTGTCAGTTAGCTGATAGGCTGATGAGGACTCTAAGCCACTCCACACAATGGTGGAAAGGGCCATACTGCCTGACTTCCCTAATTGTCGAGCCTGCTCATATTTCAGAGCCAGCATGCTGGGGACTGGGGTTGCTTTTTTATTTTTTTTTATTCCTCTTTTCTCTTTTTTTTCTTTCTTCCTTTACAAACTTTTTTCTTTCAATTTCTGCATTTCATCCTACATCCCACACGCTGCCTCACTTTTCGGCACTATTTTCTTCTTTTACAGTCGTTTCTCTCTCCCTCCTCTGTCTCTCGTTTTTAGTAAGTGGTGGGTCTTAGCGTATGACAGATTATCCCCAAGTTTGCTTCAATTACCGCAAAGGAGATGGAAACAGTACAGGAAAGGAGGGGAGGGGAAAAAAAAAAAAACTTTTGTGCACACATTATATTTAAGACGCTGAGGATAAAGTGCTATCTCTGCCTCGGTGGTAGCACCGAGCTCTCATGATATGTGAATTACCCCAAATCACTGAGAGTGTTTTGCAACGTCTTGTCCAAGAAGGAAACTTGGGCAGAATGAAGATTATAATGGGTTCCCAAATTATTCCAAGGGAAGTAGCTGCATTTTTTTTGGGCTTAAATATATATATATTAAATATTATGTGATGCTGACTGGGTTGTTTTGAATTTCTTTTATCATTGTGGCGCAAATAAAAAAAATTGCAAAAAGCAAATGAAGCTTTATAACATGTAGAAATGGACCAGGAAGTCTTAGAATATCCAATCTATTTATTTAAGTGTGAATTATTTTCAGTAGTTTTATTACTAAATTGCAAAAATTGGATTTGTCTTAAAAGATAAAACTCAAAACATGCTTGTCTTCTCCTCAGGTGAGCTTTCGCTTTTGAAGATGACTTTGAGCAAAAAGAGTTGGTGACCTCCTGAAGAGTACGGCAAATTATTCTAAAATTTAAGACCTAATATTCTTCGAAGGAATGCAAGTCACCCGTTGCCTTTCATCTCAGTTTTATAACGAGAACATCTGATGTCAGACCTTAAAAAAACAACGTTACGTTTAATCTCCTCCTCAGAGTATGTGTTGTGACTGACTCTCAGCTACTACCACACCGACTCTTGTCATTATCATTCAAACTGGCTGAGCTATAGCCATTTTTGTGATGGCTAATGTTGATTGGCGGTAACAGCCATCTTGTATTGGATTGACTCCAAAAGTTAATCAGTTGTAGATTATTTATAACTTGTCATAAATTCATTAATATTAATATTTCATTTTGCTTTGAAATCTTCAATACAAACCTGTCATTGATTAAAAAATGTTTATGCTTCTTTATTGATATTTTGAATGTTAGATGCTAGAACTTTAAGGCATAGATATAAAAACAAACTAGAGAAATAGCATTTCCTGTGAAAATTCAGTGTGAATGCTTATTGCTGAAGAACTTGTTGAAAAACAACTGAAATTAGCTCAAAACATCCTGAAATGTAGCTGAAACGTAAGAACAAACATAAGTTAGCAGAAGAAAGTAGAAAGAACGCAGGTTTGCTGAATTTGGTTTAAAGAAGCAGAAATGAGCACAAAAATGAGTAAATTAACTAAAAAAAAGCTGAAATTAGCGAGGAAAAGTAGCTGAAACGGCAGAAAGAAGCTTAAATTATAAGTAGGAAGTGGAGAGAGCACAATTGTGTCCAATTAGCCTGAAAGAAGCAGAAATGTGCACAAAAAAGTGAAAGTATCTGAAAAAAGCAGAAATTTGCCAACAACAGCTGAATAGTAGCTAAAAAGACAGAAAGAAGCTTAAATTACCAGAAGAAAGTGGAGAGAGCACATTTTTGCTGAATTAAGCTGAAAAAAGTTGAAATGGGTGCACAAAATGTGGAATTGGCTAAAAAAGCTAAAATTAGCATTAAAACAGGTAAATACTAGCTGAAATAGCAGAAACTTACAGAAAGGAGCATAAAAAGCTGAAATTAGCAGAAAGAGGTTAGAAGAGGCACAAACATGTTCTAGTTAGCAAAAAAATCCGAAAAGAGCACAAAACAGCTAAAAGTAGCTGAAAATAGTTAAAATTTGCAGAAGGAAGCTGAAAGGAGCACAAAACAGCAGAAAAACAGCTAAAAGTAGCTGAAAATAGTTAAAATTTGCAGAAGGAAGCTGAAAGAAGCTGAACCTGAACAAAATGTGAGAAGAGCAGTAAAAGGTTGTAAACATATCTAAAGATTTTAAAGTATGGAAAATGAGCTCAATTCATTTTTTATTAGGGAAAAATGGCAGAAAAGGGTAAATATTTCAAAAAGCTAAAGTTGCACCAATACCAAATGTCATAGGATTGTCCTGAAAGAGCTGAACGTTTTGGTCTAGGATTAGTTGAAATAGCACAAAAATTGTGGAACGAGAAATATGCCAAAAAATGTACGGAATAGATAAAGTAGAAATAATAAATATAAACAGGAAAACAATAGTGTGAATGTTTAATAAGCATTCACACAATTAATAATAATAGTAATAATAATCAGCCCTTTATCTTTTTGTTTTTCAGGTTAACCGGTCCTGGACCGGGTGCTGTCTTGGCTGCAGGGCTGTTTGCTTTTTCCCGGCTCAGCTGGCAGTGGTCAATGGTGGCGGAGGTCTTCACCCTCAACAACCTGTTCGTTGGCCTTCTCTTCTCCCTGACCTCCAGTTTTCACTGCGCTGAAAGCTCCACGCGCAGGAGGAAGGTAACGACACGTCTTCACGCCATGCCCGTCCTCCTCAGGTGTTCGGCTCACCGTGTTGTACTGCCACCTTCAGATTGCTCACTGGGGGGCGTTGTGCTGCGGCTTGGGGCTCTGTAACCAGCACACCCTGGTTCTGTATGTGCTGGTCATCATTCCCTGGGTCCTGTATCAGCTTTCTGCTCTAAAGGTAAGCATTTAATCTGGGAGCATTCATCAAAGAGTCTGAGAGCAGAATAACCCAGAGTGTCTTTGCTGTGGATTTTAAACAGGAGCTCTCGTTTCGTGATCTTGTGTCTCTGGGTTTGTGTTTTCTGGCTGGTTTTCTGCCGTACGTTTACCTTCCCGTCTCATCCTACCTCAACACCGCCCGCTGGAGCTGGGGGGACCAGACCACCCTGTCAGGTCTGCTGGCCCACCTGCTGAGGGCCGAGTACGGCACGTTCAGTCTGGTACGTGCATGCTGCCTCGGCATATTTTTGTTTACACATTGTTTACCTTTATGTGTTATTTAGATAAACTTACCAACATTTTTAAAATTGTACTTTTTATGTTTTGCAGGCAAAGACGGATACATCTGTGACCCTGAGCAGAATGTTACAGTGAGTTTATTTAAAAAAAAAAACATTGTTCACATTTAAGATACTAATTACAGCTGAGTGGTTTCTAAGCTTGTACTTCCTGTAAATCTCATTTGGTTGTTTATTTTCACAGATTTATGAACTATTTTAAAGTAATTTACAAGCAACAGGAAACTTGTTTACATAAACTGATATGTATTCCTAAAATGAGGGTCCACACTCGATATAAACAAAGCCCCTTTTCTGCATACTTTACTCAACAAGTCTGAGATATGACAAGTTTGACTGGTCAGGATTGGCAGATATACAAACTGTCCACTAATGAATTTTAGCCTGAATCCTATTCAAGAAAAAATAAATGTTTTATTACAGAAGGTATTTTGGCAGATTTGAAGTCAGAATCCACCAACAGGAACTTCCAAGAAGTTTATTTAATCGCTACAGGAAACCATTAGATGCTGCCGTCGTTCCCAGAAGTTCTGAAGTCAAATATTATCAATCTAGTTAGGTAGTTGCTTCTGTTTCACTAAATAAAAACATCTTTGTTTCTTTAAGAGAAATTAAAAAAAGACAGATATGCAACTGGAAACATAAAATTAATTATTATTATTATTATTATCCTACAGTTTAGTCATACCAGTAATTCTGATTTAATATAAAAATGTGTCATCCAATGAACAACAGTTTATAATTATCAATTTCCTGCGGGATCAATAAAATTCTTATCTTATGATGATTTTTTTCTTCTTCTTCTTCTTCTTTTTCTTTCGGCTGCTCCCTTCTTCAGGGGTCGCCACAGTGAACTAAGTCTCACGAAGATTTGACAAATATTTTTATGTCGGACGTCCTTCCTGACACAACCACAGACCACCGAGCTACCACAGCCCTCCGTGTGGAGCAGGGAGCTGCTATCTAGGGCGCCTGAAGGAGCAGATGGTGGAGGTTAAATGCCTTGCTCAAGGGCCCAGAGTGAGGCAAATGAGGGTGGAGGCAGGTGTGGGTGCTTCACTTTAACCACCCACATTTTGATGTTGTTGGTACGGGGAGTTGAACCGGCGATCCTCCGATCACAGGCCCACCTTCTCTAACCTCTGTGCCACCACTCCTCCACCATTATGATGATAATGGTATTAAAATACTGAAACAAAGATACAAAGTACTGACTTTAAATTAAATGTTTTTACTGAACTAACAATGTCAGGCCAGAGCTTTTCACTTACCAGTCAAATATTCATTCATTCATTTATTTATTTAGGTGGTTCAGTTGGTTGAAGTGTTACCTCTCAGTGAGGTCAGTGGATCAAATCCCAGCCCGGGGCCTTTCTGGGTGGAGTTTGCATGTTCTCTCCGTGCATGTGTGGGTTTCCTCTGGTACTCCAGTTTCCTCCCACAGACTAAAAACATGCATGTTAGGCTGATTGGTAACTTTAAATTGTCCCTAGGTGTGAGAGAGAGAGTGAATGGTTGTTTGTGCCCCTGTGATGATGAATGGACGGGTGGATGGATGTGTATATATACACATATAATTATTTATTTTGGTGTTCTGTTATGTGACTCTAACTAAAGACAATAAGCAGCCGTTTCCTGCTCTAGCCTGACTGATTTCCTTTCGTTTACACAGTTTAAGTTCTTTGACGTAAACTGGAGCGGCAGCGTAAACCGAGGGTTCGATCCCAGGCGCAGTGAGAACACTTTTCAGGTCTCGAGCTGGAGGTCCAGCGGCCTTCCAAGATGCTTTACACACGTTTAACTGCAGACACGCCAGTCTTCTCGGTGAGCCAGGAGTCATTTCTGCTTCCAGCTGCTTTTCTCTCCTCTCCCAGCAGCTTTTGTTCCTCTTGTTCCACCCCCCCCCCCCCCCCGCCCCAATATGAGAAGAACAGAACCTGCTTAGAGGTCCAAATCGCTGTGTTCTGTTTCTGCAGCAGTTTGAACTGATCACTCAGCTCTGGTGTTTAAGCGTGACAAGCTGTGATGACAGACACTGCAACAGAGCTGGGGAAAATTGTGTTTTTCCTTTCTGCCACCCACTTTCCCCTCACACACCAAAGAATTCCCCTCCATTGCTCTCCATCCCTCTGCTGGTATCTTTTGATGGGACGCATCTTAAGAACCCGCACTACCAGACCCCCCTCTGCCTGGCACCCACCCCTTCCCATCACCCCTGCTGCTTGACGGACAAGCACACCTTCAAAATAGAGAAGAGAGGCGAACATGACAGGCATGTCGCTTTGGAGACGTAAAGCTCGCCCAAGAAGCTGACACACACACACACACACATCTAGTGTACATTGGGAGATATAGAGACTCAATAAGCTGTCAAATAGAGATGGGTATTAAGGAAGAGGCAGGAAACTATCTCTCCGCTCTGAGCAAGCGCTTTGTGAATGACAGGCGCAGCGAGGAGAGGCCGGGGCTGCTGGGGGTGGATGACAGTCGTTCGTATCTGTCAATCCCACTGAAAGAAGGAGTCCAAGGAGTTTGTTTTGATGGGGGCGGAGAGCATTTGGTAATTGCTGTCCTTGAGTTCAGCTTCATGAAGGGTAATTGAGTTCTTTGATGTTGGTCGTACATGATGTGCGTACATGTGTGTGTGCTTGTGCAGGGCTCAGCTGGACCACTGCCTGGAAGAACTTTCTCCCCCCGTTTTGGTTCTGGCAGGACTCGGCCTTCTCCTCTCCTCCCGGGACAGGTAGGATGAGTAAGATGCCAGCACACAAAACTCAGTCACGCGCATCTCAGCAGCCACTTCAACCCCAAAATCTAATCCTCCCCGAAGTGAAAGGCGGCAAACAAAACCACTGACAAAACGCTGATCCCAGGAAAAGAAAACACAAAACAACACCGAGGCACCTTGCTGTCAAGCTGTCACGACGCTCCGCATTCAGATCAAGAGGGCTTGATGTTTAGTTTGGGTTTAAAAATAAATCACCAAACATGTTTGTGTGTGTTTGTATGTAGCAGTGTGATGCAGGAATTCATTACAGCAGTGGCTTTAATGGGGTCTGTGGGGTGGTGCTGATAAAGCCTGGTGCTGCCCCAGAGCTCTGCAGGGCACCAGCTCCCCTCTCTCTCCTGAGGAGCACTTAAATAAACGCACACACACAGATGAAAAACAGCAAGGTCAATCCACTGAGTGCCAAAGGGAAGCCATGCAAATGCACATTCACACGCAGTGTGCACATTACCGTATTTTCCGCCGTACACGTCGCACCGCCCTATAAGTCGCATCAGTCCAAAAATGTCTAATAAAGTGGAAAAAAACATAAATATGTCACTTCGCTGTATAAGTTGCATCTATTATACGTCACCGCTGACCACCCGGAAATGTGGGCCGGTGTTGTGCCAAAAATGGATTGGCTGCCAAATGGCGACCGCGGAAGTGTGCATGGGAGGACTTTAACAAGAATTTAACAAGATTAACACTTAAAAACAATTTTTTGTTTGCTTGAAATTATAACAAAGGTGTGTCTCGTTTTAACTTTTCCTTAATAAATGCACTTTGACTGTTAAATCAGCTGCATTTCAAAAGCCGATTTGCGGAAGAGGGAGCGCGCAGACGGGACGACTCGCTGTGCATTTCTTCAAAATTTAACAAGATAACCACTTAAAAACAATTATTTGTTCGCTCGACATTATAGTAAAGGTGTGTCTCAGTTGAACTTTTACTTAATAAATGCACTTCAATGGTCAAACTAGCTGCATTTTGCCGGGGCGGCGCAGCAAAATGAAGCTGATTTGACAGTTGCTCCAGGCATGATCCCGGAGCTGGACGAAGGTGGCAGGATATGGCAAGCTGATTGTGTCATTAAGAGCCACTTTTACCTATTACATGATACAACGGCATGCCATACAACTTGAGTGCCATCTAGCAGCTGAAAATGGTAGTGTTCAATATTTTCAATGTCTGAATGAATGAAAACAATCATACCTCAGCCAAAAAATTAGTTTATAAATATGGGGGGGGGGGGGGGGGCATAAATAAGTCACTTCGGTAAGTCGCAGGGCATGCAAATTATGCGCCAAACAGTTGCGATTTACAGGCCAGAAAATACTGTAAATGCTATTATTCAGACTTATATTTCTCCAAAACCTGCACTACTTGCTCTAAATATATCGTTTTTTGTGGCCGGCTGATGGAGTCTGTCAACTTGGAAGCTCCTCTCCAGGTTCATGTGATGATTTGTTGTTTCCTCTTTAGTCTTTAAGAAGGTTTTACATCTTTACTGTAATGAGTCTGTGATTCAACGGTTGGCATCAGCTCATTGTGACTCAGTCCGCATTAAAAACTCAATCATGCACCTCTTAGTTTTGCTGCACACAGTGTTCTGCAGCCCTGCTTTAATATTTTTACAGCTACTATTAAACAGGCGATGTAACTCATCACTGAATATATGTAAATGGAGATGAAATAAGTTTGGTATTAAATTAGTGGTTTTGTTCTTGCAGGACGTGCAGCTCAGTGTCCCGCATGTTGACTGCCATGCTGCTGCTCTATTCTCTGTTTTTCGCTTGGAGAGCCAACCTGGACATTAGCAGACCTTTACTGCTTGGAGTGGTGAGTAACAACACTTACCCCACGCTTCAGCATCACCACCCATAGTTAACGCCTGCCAACAAAAGGCAAAAGCGGACGGTAATGTTTTTGTCTCTGTCTGTTATAAAAATATCTCTATAACTCTATGTCAATTTTATAGATATTAAGCCGTGGTAATACCAGAGACTGATCCTAAACACATATTCTGTGAGATCTTTGTACAAAAATTGGCCATTAACTATTTAGAGCCAACTCTGTCTGTTAGAAAAGCATCTCATGATTTCCTGCATGGATTTCAATGAGATTTTCAGGAAAAAAACTTATGAACTCAGTTCAATTCAAGATGGCTGCCACAGCCAACTGATTCTACACATCACAAAACAGCTCAAGCCATTTATACAGCTATTGTGCTAATATTTGGTGTGTTTGTAGCTCAAACTTGTTTAGAACACGTGCTCTTGAGTACTACTCATTGTTGTATGTATTTGCTTCAAACTTTAGCATTAACTGTTGGCGTCAGCCCTGTTTATCTGTTAGCATAATATCCTACGATCCATTGGATGTGTTTTAATTAAACTTTTCGGAAATGATCGTTGAGTGCACATCCAAAACCTTTGGAGTCGACCCAATTCAAGATGACCTCCACAGTTAGTTGACCTTGAGAAACACAAAAACGGCAAACGTTCACTTCATTTTATAGGCTGCAGGCAAAATGCATTCCTTCAAGGAAAGTTAAACCTTTAGTTTCTGTCTGCAAATTCAAATATGTCCACGTCTTCTTAAATAGAACTATATCAGTGATACAGTATGTACTTTGTGCAGGTTGAGCGTTTCTGGTTGCAGAGCGACGCAGCGGTGTGTGTGCTGGCTGGCCTCGGCTTGAGTCACACCCACACCGAGCTGGGCAGGAAGCTGGGACGTGGGGGTCTGTGGAAGACCATCAGCTGGGTCTTCACTTTAGGTCTGCTGGCACATATGGTGCGCACCAATCACAGGTGAGCAATACGCCAAGTTGTAATAAAAACAGCTTGGTGTTAAGTGTTTGCGACAACAAACAGTGTAACGATGTTTTGTAATAAGCGAGCAGTTTATTTCTACTGTATTCTGTTTTCACTGAGTCTAAAGTAGCAGTGGATCAAATTAAGCCGTGTCTGGGAAATTAAAACGCTGACTTGGAAGTTTTTAAGATTTAACACGTTCATCTGCATTGCAAGTAAATCAGCAGAGCATTACAGTAAAGCAGAGTCAGCGTTCAACACTTCTCATTATGTCTATTTCCATTCTTGTACATTTGTATTTAAATGCTCTTATTTTGTTAGGGCCGAGACTTAAATTCATCTTTGTAACGCTCACATTTGCAGACAATTACAGAACTCATTTTACAACAGCAAAGATTTTGATCACAGTGGACATAATTAATGTAGCTGCATTGTGTCTCTCCTCCACGGGCTATTAGTCATCCCAGGCAGTAATGGTGTTTTTTTTGTGGCAGGCTGTTTATCTGAGTTTTACTGGACCTCTGCTGCAAACTTTACATCAAACACTAAATGAAGTTTTATTCTGCGTTTTAAAGTTGACTAAAAATGAAAACTCCCTCCTTTTTTTTCCGGTTCTATCTAAAACCCTCCACGAGTTTATTTTCCCTGAGTCAACCTGATTTGTTTCTCCTGCACTTCACTCCGAACTCCACACGTCAGGTTTTTCTCCGCTCGGGCTAAATGGCGGCACGGTTAGCACATAGATTCCTCTCGCAGAGCTCAGTCTGTCCGAGAAGGCAGATTACAGCGCCGGGGAGCGCCAGGCAGCCATCGCCGAGCGCCTTTGATCAAAGGACGAGCGCGCTGTCAGACCAATCGCACCTGTCGCCCCGTGATTAGATTGGCAGCCGGAGATGCAGTGGGGAGGGAATGGGGCGGGGGCGCTGGCGGCTGTAGACTTCACCCGCAGAGCTCCACGCAGGGGTGACGACGCACGCAGCTGTTTTAGAAAACAATGACGTTCTGCAGCGTGATCGCACGATGTTTCAGGGAGTGCGATCAGAGCAGGAACAGCGTGGTGGAGAGGTTCGGCGGGGAGCTCCTGGCCTCCGTCCCAAAAGACTCCCTCATCCTGACCAGAGGAGACCTGCCAGGAAACTCTCTTCGTTACTTACATTACTGCCAGGGCATGAGGGCGGATGTCTGCCTGGTCGACCAGGAGGTCAGAGCCATTTTTATTGTCTCCATATTACTGTCTCTATAGTTTTCTTTCAATAAATACTTTATTATAAACCAAGAAATCAAGTTTGTGTGTGCGTGTGTGTGCATGTGCCTGTGTGTGTGTCTGTTAGCAAAATATCTCATGAACCACTGCACAGATTTTAATGAAACTTTCTTGAAGTGATCACTGGACGTACATTTACAACCAATTTAACTTTTGGAGTCAGTCCAATTCAAGATGGCCGCTTTCAACAATGTCCAACACAAAACTGGTTACAAAGTAGCCACTTTTATAGATGTTACACTAGGTTTTGTGGTAGTAGTAGCCGAGAGTCATTCACAGCACATACTCTGTGACGTTTTGTAATAAAGTAGTCCCTCGTTTATCATGGATCCGTACCCTGAAGACACGCAATAAGTGAAAAATGCAAGGTAGGAATAGTAGTACAAGTAGTAAGTAGTAGTTTATTTATATATATAAGGTGTTTTAAACTCTTCCCACACTCTTGCAATATTCTAAACAATGTTTCTAAACTCTAAATGCTAAGAGAATGTCATGATTTCAGCTCTGCACTCCTGGCCACGCCCACTTCTTCGCTGCAGAAGGAGATCGAGAGAGGAGGGAGGAGGAGCTGCAGGAGGACGTTTCTCCTGCAGTGTGGGCTGCACACAGGTGCAGCAGGTGCTAAATCATTTAAAATAATTAATTTTAAATAAAAAAAATCCATGCTGATCGTGCGGCTCTTCAGTTGCGTGTCATGTCCAATCTTATTTTGTAAAACCGCAAAAAACTAACCACGAAGTAGGGAGGGACTACTTTATTACATTAGATTGTGGATAACATTATTTTCAATATCTTCAATTCTAGGATGATTTTAGTTTAAAACGCTGTTATGAAAGGTGGCGGGTGACAGGCATTCCTTCAATTATATATGTATTTTTCACCACTTATATAGTTTTTTTTTTTCACAGTTAGAACCAAATTCTTCAAGAAGCTTTAAATGCACACAAAAAGTAAAAAAAAAAAAAAAAAAAAATCATATTTATTAACCAAACAAAAATAAACAGTTATTGTTTTTTTTCTTTTTCCTGACTAGATGATGACATATTCTTGGTATGTGTCAAAGCTGGCTCAGCACCTCCCCGGGGTCCACTTTCCTGGTCTCCAGTGGGACGTGGTCCACTCTGAGGACAAGAAAACCTTCAATCTCGAGCAATTTCTGTCTCACAACACACAGTGAGTGTCTGAGAACACGTAATAAAGGGATGGGTCTGAACAGAATAAATTACAAAGAAAAAAGTTAAATGGAGTGGATTGAACTGGGATGAATGAACAAGTGGGTGATCTAATGTGGGACAGTCCACACGGCGGTGAGTGCAGGGAGGAGATAAGCCCACAGAACTGGTGAGGCCACAAAAGAGTTTGATGAACTCTTAATAATAATAATCTACTTGATTTGGTTGAACAGACTCTGGTGGACTCCTGGCTGCTCCCCCTGGAGGAGCTGGGACCCACAAACTGGATATTTGATTAATGCCAAGCCCACCAGGGGGCAGTGTTTGCCAGGCCAACATGGTTCTCCCTCTGTGGGGCCACACTGACCTGTGGGACTACCACTCAAGGTGTGGGATGTTCGTTTACATGTTTGTCACCGTTAACCCTTTGTTTCTGCAGAAAGGATGTGTTTGCCTGCATTGGGCTGCCTGATGGAGACCCAAGCTGGGAGCGTAGTTTCTCTCGTTGGCCCTTCGGCGTGTGCGACTACCTGGTTCCTGTTAAGAAGCAGTTTCACCCTGAAGAGTGGGTTCAACGCACTCGAAACATCTACAACTGGAGCGAGCCGCACAGCAGGTGCAGAAGTCAGAAATGTTACGTCACATTTACTATCGATGGGTTATTTTGTTCAGATTTTAAACCACTTTCAAATTATAGTTGCTAGATTATTATTTTTTTTTTATGGGATTAAAATAAGCAAGGTGTAATTCTTTAAAGGAATTATCTGCCGCCTTTCTTGACAAAGTTTTAAACTAATATCTGCTCGGTCTTGACATAATTATGTGCAATCTCGATATTGTGAAGTGCTCGCAGTATGTGTTGCAAATGACTCTCGGCTACTACCGCAGCAAGCCGCAGCTCAATATCCGTAAAACCTGCTGAGTCGTCGTAGCAACGTTTGTGTTGACTAAGGCTGTGGCAGCCATTTTGGTTCGGATCGACCCCGAAACTAACTTCCCTTCCCTCTGTGGTCTCTGTAAGGATATACTCCTCAGCGATCCACCTCTTTGTGAGTTCAACCACAGCAGGCCCTCGGCCATTTGAAACGAGACTGAAGATGAAAAATAATGAGTTTCTTATTGCGTTTTTTTGTCAATAACTGTGTCAAAACTGGAATTAGTTAAACTCTGCATTCTGTTGCCACCGCCAGCAGCCCTTCTTTCACTCAGATATCCACGGCTGAATACTGTGACATTATTTCCCGCACCCTTTACGACAAGCGTGTCCGCCGATGCCCACGAGCCAAATATTTAGCCGGGGAAACCTTGCTAAAATATTCTTTTGAAGAAGAGGTCAAGTGTTTGGAGTCAGCAAAGTGGGGAAAATGTGCAGATGTGGTTTAATTCCATGTCTAATGTGCCGGCTGCTATTGTTGCGCCGTCATTTAATGTTTATGCCGCGTATATCACATTTTGGTGTAATAAAACTTTAAGATTTCAGTGGATATTCATGAAAATAATCATTTAGAGTTAGCCTGAAGCTGCTTTAGTATTTAAAAAAAAAAAGTGTTTTTCTTGCTTGAACAGTTTCCATCCTGCATCTTGGGAGCGTGTGGCTAACGAGGAGATGTGGCAAGCCAGGTAAGCGTTTTTACCCGAGATTTCTTTCACGGCTGGCGTGCAAAAAAAATCTAAACGCTGCGTCACGACGCACACTGCCCTGCTGCAGCATCTCCATAAACCAGTCTTGTGTGGCAGAGCATCTACATGTACATTCTGTTTGGTGGCGGCATCTACATAAATCACTCCCTGGGAGTGGTGCGTCTGAGAGTGTGGATCTGCACGGCTCATCCATCCAGCACTTAGCCCCGCGTGCTTTTTGTTGCAGGATGAAGACGGCTTTCTTTCTGTTTGACCTGGCAGACAAGATGCAGGCGGAGGGGAGAGCTCGCCTCTATGAGCTGTCCTACACCGTAAGTCTTCCCTAAACAACCCAAATCATGCTCCATTATAAAGCAGACACAGCTGTTCACCTCCTCGCAGATTTTCTTTCAGTTTTGGCTTTTTTGTCACACCTGCATGTTTCAAGTCAAACAAATGAGAAAGATAACCTGAGCAAAAAAGAAAAAGTCGTTTTAAACAAAGATTTCGTTTATTAAGGTGAAAGACGCAATCTAAACTAAGAGGGTTGTGCCATCCTTGGAGGCAACAGCTGCAATCAAGCGTTTGTGAGAACAGGTGACGAGTCTTTCACAGGATTGTTGTCCTGAAGTGAACTTGAGCCTAGGGTCCCGAACTGATGGCCGAACTTTCTCCTTTAGGATTTTCTGCTAGAGAGCAGAAATCATGGTTCTATCAGTTACAGCAAGTCATTCAGACAGTCGTCCATCGCCCCAGACCATCACACTACTACCACCGTGTCTGTGAATTTATTTTTTCCAAAATGTTTAGTCTTCAAATGTCTTCAAGGATCATTTAGATGTTTTTATTTTTTTTTTTTGGACAAATATGAAACAAACCTTGGTGGTTTTTTTCTCAGCTGTGGTTTTCTCCCATGATGCCATTTTTGTCCTTTGTCTCGTTCTTATGGATGAATCACGAATGGAGGCACGTGAAGCCTGCAGATTAAATGATCTGGGTACTTTTGGACCCTCTTGGATGAGTTGCCGATGCTCTTTTGGAGTCATTTTGGACAGCTGACCTCTCTGGAGAAGGTTCACCACTGTTCCATGATTTGTCCTTTTGTGAAAAACGAGTCCATCCAAGTGATTTTTTTTTTTTTTAATTCTACAGGTCTGGCAAAAATTAGGCCTGACTGTACATGGACTTTACTTATATAACACCTTTCTATCTTATCAAGATACTCAAAGCGCTTTACAGTCTGTGTCCTCTTTTACCCATTCATACAGCACTCTACTAGATCTCTACACAGAATAATCAGTGCTTCATCACATTCATACACCGATGGGACACACATTGGAGGCAATGTGTCTTGCCCAGGGACACTTCGGCATGTGACTGCTGATGGAATCGAACCCCCAACTCTTGCATTGGAGGACGACTGCTCTAACCACTCAGCCAGAGCCACCGACTGTGGCTGGACTGACCCAGTCTTTCACACACACAAAAAAAAGCACTGTTAATTTACAATTTAACAAGTGAGTGCATCTTTCATATAAGACCCATCTTTATTTCCTGCAATAAATGAAATCATCGTTTGAAAATGTCCTCACGTTATCTTTGTCTGATTTTACCGTTTGTTAGCTTGATCTGAAACATTTAAATGCGACAATAAAGCACCAACAGCACTTTTTCACAGCTCTGTACGCACGTATGGTTGTAAGTTTTGTAACTTGTCTGTGCGTTTGCTCGGCAGCTGTATGCAGACATCGTGAGGGCCCACTCACACTATCCTCCGAACTGGGACAAGAACCTGGCTCTGGCCTGTGAGCGGCTGCTCCGCTCGGGTCACCAGGGTTACAGCGCGGACGTCCTGCTGACCTGCAGCATTCAGCACTTCAGTCTCTACATAGAGAAGGACCCCACTGACCCCCAGGCACCGGCCATCCGATCGGCCATTACTCACCTGCGCAAGGAGAGAGACAGACTCCATCAGAGCTGGACATGAACTTCAGGATAGGGTCCTGGAAGATTGATTCAGAATACTGAACAAAAAATCTTTAGCCACCCTTCATTTGTTTTATTTTGCTTCTAAGGAGTCAGAATGGGTTTGTGTTGTATTTTTAAGTCATCTGAGGGATTTTTGAATGTCCTAATTGTTTCTTTAATTAACATTGGCTCATTTTTCCCTAATTAACCGTCCAGTACTCTGTCATTTTCATATAATTCCCCTTTCTTTTGTCTGCTAAGCCTGTTAGACAGGCAGATAATTGTGTTTTTGCACCAACAAGGTGATTCCTAAAAAGTTGTTTGCTACAAAAATGCTCCGTTTGGAAGCATGTTCCATAAAAATGTGAACAATTAGGCAAGTGGTGAGTTTTAAAACAGGCATCTTCAGCAGAAGATTACAGCAGAATGAGACAAATCTGGGTTTATTCAGATAATTTAAAAAATATATATAATTTTTGATATTATGTAACGGCTCGCTAAAAACTCAAACTTGTATTCTACATTTTTTGCAGGTGTAATTAAACAGACTGTGTGTTTTGCAACAAGCTGCTCCTCATAAAGCACCCAAAAATACTATTTTATTCATATATAGGCCTGTCGCGATAAACAATAAATCAATTAATCGCATGGTAAATGAAAATTATTGACCTCATTTTCATTTATCGGTTTTATTTGTGTCTCTCTTTCTACTGAAGACACTGGATGACAAGTCTCTTACTCTGCTCTTCACTGACCTCCCTTTCTCTTTAAAATCCATTTTAACCATCCAAAATCGTGTTTTTGGATGGTTTAAAGCAGCTAACTTGAGAAGCTAAGCTAACAGGCTGATCTCGGGGAAAAAACCTCCGTCTTGTCGAAGCTCCAAAATTCATGGTTGAAACCCGTGCCTTCGTCTAAAAAGTTGTTTTTCTCTGCAAAAAGAAGCTGAGAACTTGTTTACTGATTTTAAAAAAAATAATAATTTTTAAAGCTTTGTGTGAAAAATGTTATGCTAAAGAGCTCAAACCACGCTGAGCGTCCGCCATTTTCAGAACCAAAAAACAGGAAGGAGAGACAACCCATGTCACGTCATGGGGGCCTCCCTCCCATTTTTCTTAAAGAGACACGCTGCTCGCTCCCTCACTATCCATCCTTCGGTTCAAAGAGTCTTATACTGCCATCTGGTGGTCAAAAAAAGCTACTACACTCAAAACAAATTAAACATTTTTGCTTAAATTTGACAATAATTACCATTTATTGTCAAATTTCAAACAGTATTATTGTTTATCGCAATAATTTCTGAGACGATTAATCGCCCAGCAAAATTTGTTATCGTGACAGGCCTAATCATTTATATTACTAAGCTGATAGTTAAATTAATGTTGATACTAAAAGTTAAACCATTAAGTTAGAAGCTTTTTATGTTTGATACAGGTCTGTGTTTACTCACTTCCTGTAAAATTGACAAGAGATTTATTGAACAAAAAAAAAAAATCCAAAGAAAAATATTTTCAGAAAGCTCTTAGAAATATAGCTTGTTAACCTGAAGGCAACACATTAAGAAATGAGGGACGACTTAAATGTTTTTTGTAGTCGATCTAAGCCACTGTGCCTTTTTGTTCCAGAAGGTTAGTTTGTTTCTGGCCACGTTGACTGCAGCGACAGAAATCAGTCTGGAGAGAAATTCTTACACTTTGATTATCAAACAGATCTCTGAGCGCACAGCAGACCAGCACCGAGCCATATTTATTATGATTAATGTTTACAGCTGAGCACCACAAGGAAGGAGGTTGGCTTTTCTGCGCCTCTCGTTAAACTCACCTATTCAATCGATCCATCTTCACATCTCTTTCTTCATTCCGTTCTGCTCTCAAAGCTTTGAACATGTAGAGTATTTAGCCTCAGTCTCTGCTCCTTTTTTTTTCTCTCTCTCACATGAGTTTGCCAAGGCCGAGATTGAGGGAAACCCAAATTGGGGGCAGAAAGTGGGGATTAGAGCAGCTGTTTAATCTAGGACAGACTTGCTCACCCGCCCCTCTATCCCTCCATCAATCTATCTTGGATGGTCCTTTAAATGTTTAAACTAATGGATTTGATAAGTGTTTTTCCCCCTCTCTTCCTTCCTAACAGGAGGGCTGTAATCCCTCATGGATTTAAATGAAATGTGAAATGTCACCATGCCAGGGACCCTTTTAGAGGACTGTTTCTGTGTGCATACGTGTTGATTTTCGTGTGTGCGTACGCTTAAATCTCCACTCCAGACTGTTTTTTTTATTTTTATTCCTCTGCCCGAGCTGCACATAAACACGTTTGATAAACAGATTAGCACAATGAAAAAGCGAAATGTTTTGATCGTTACAGAAACATACAAAGTGCAGGGACACGTGTAGACGACATGCCTGAGCTTCAAACCTGGAAAAAATGACCTTTAACCCTGAGGCCATTGGCAGAAAGAGTAGAAAATACGTAATGTTTCTCAGAATCCAGCACCACTTTTTGTGTTAATGATCCATAAAGTTTGATATTTGAAGATCAACATATCATACAACACAGCTGAAGAAGTCTGCTCTTTTAGCTGCAACAACCAGAGGGTGTTTATTTATTTATTTTTCTGAATTTAATCTGCCCTGCCTGTCAGCTGATTGGACGATGAGGTATGACCTGCTGTTACACAGATGGTTTGTTGTCTCTGCTCGCTGCAGAACCAACTATTTAAATAAAGAGTTGTTTTTATATGTTTTTGTCCTTGTGTTGGTCTAAATATCCATTTTAGATCAGGATGAAGTTCTTTAATGTTTTGTTTCTTTCCTGGTATTTTGGTGTAAATGCTGATTCAGCATTTACACTTGTTTTCCTGCGTTTTTACTTTTTGTGATATTTTTGCTAGCTAAATGCTTCTGCATATTTTGTGCTGTTTTAGCTGTGTATGAAAACGTTCGGCGCGTTCGGGAGATAAGTGCTGCTGTTTTTGTAACTTTATACTTTTTAAAACAACTTTGTATACAAATATTTTTGCACATAGAAATACATTATGATCTCTTTGAATTCTGCTTCAACTGATTTATACGTTGTCTTCTTAGGCTAGTTTTAGCTTTCAGCTTGCCATTTGATACTTATAACCAGACTTTTGCTATGTATAGCTAGAGTCTGGTTACTTTTAGTTGCTTTTAGCTAGTGTCTTACTACATTTAACTTCTAGCTACTATTTTGTACATTTTAGCAAGCCTTTTAATAGTTAGCTTTTTGTTTTGGGGACTTTTAGCTAGCCTTTTTCTACTTTTTGTTTTTAGCTTCCCCTTTGCTCCTTTAGCTAGTCTTTTTATACTTATAACCAGATTTTTGCTACATATAGCTAGAGTTTGGTTACTTTTACCTCATGTTTAGCTGCTTTTAGCTAGTGTCTTTTTACATTTAACTTCTAGCTACTATTTTGTTCATTTAACAAGCTAGTTAGCTCGTAGTTTTTGTTTGCTCCTTTCAGCTAGTGTTTTTGTTATTTTAGCTAGCCTTTTTCTACTGTTTGTTTTTAGTGACCCGTTTGCAATACTTTTAGCTTACCTTTAGCTACTTTTAGGTAACATTTTTGCTCATTTTGTCTTAGCTGGGCTTTTGCCACATTTAGCCTTGCTCATTTTAGCTTTTAGCTTGTCTTTTGCTTCTTTCAGCCTGAAACAAGTCAGTTTCAGCTTTTTCAGCAAATTTCAGCAAACTCATTCAGCATTCATGGGAGTCTAGTTTGGTTTTTGATGTTTACCTTCTCTTCCTTGCATCTCCTCTCACCCTGACTCTCCATGCCCCCCCCCCCACCCCCACCCCCTGTTTCTGAGAGTCAGTTGCCCACCCTAAATCAGCAAGCTGCAAAGGATTGTGGGAACCCGTGGAATCGCCGTGACCAGGGGATGCAGGCAGGGAGCCACGGCAGCGCTGGAATGTGGGGTGTCTGAAGAGATAAGAGCTGCCAGCCCGAGCCTGGGAGTGAGTAGGGATGCAGCAAGTAGGGGGGGAGAGGGGGTGATGGAAATAGGGACAGCAGCAAGTCTGTGAATGGTGGTGGTGGTGGGGGTGGGGGTGGGGGGGGGTGAGGAGCAACACAACATTGTAAACAGTGCAGAGTGAGACAGGAAAAGGGGGGGGGGGGGGGGTACACACTGGAGATGGGAAGCCAGCCTTATTCCTCTTTGCATTTCATTTACATCCTTGGCCGTATCGACCAATCGGATTGGGAGCAAAGCCCAGGGCTTAGGAGGGGAATAAAAAGACAAAATGCCTTTGCTGCTCTCATCCCTCCTTGATAATACCCCTTCTGTTTTTCTTTTCTCTTCTCCTCTCGTCTGTAAGTAGATACTGTCCGAAATGCCAGCAGAAAAGCGACACCTCCGCTTGCTGTGGATCTCAGATAGTCAGAGCGGGAGCAGGGCCTGAAAAGGCAGCTTTAGTAACTGGGCCTATCTCCACTCCTCTCCTCTCTCTGGCTGTGGATGGAAGCTTGGAGTGGAGAGATGAGGAGGGCTTGGGTGTGTTGGTTGGTGTTGGTGGGGGCAGAATAGAGGGTGTGAGAGGCATGATATACTGAGCTGGCAACAGAGTTTGCAGAATCTTACGCTCTGGCAAACTTTGCCTGCAGATCCCTTTTTCCAGAGAAACCTGTTTCAAGGATGTTTACCAGGTGCCACCCATCTTTGAGGAGGTTTCACATTTCTACTGAACTTAACACACTTTTTAGTTATTTCACTAAACTCGAGAGTTTCTAAAACTTCACGCTGGTTAAATGAAATGTTTTCCCAAACTGATTAAAGTGGGTAGTATTTAAGACTCGTCTCAGGTTTTTGTTTGCCGTGGGTCTTGACTTGTGTGTCGTTGCTTTGCTGCTGTTTGTGAATCAGGCCCAGAACAAATGCAGGTTTATTTGTGCAGGTGTTGTGTTACTGTTTGTGTTTGGGTTAATTTGCGCCTGTCAAGTGTTTATCCTGAGTTTCGAGGATCGTGTTCTTGTCTTTGTGCCCCCTGCAAAGCCATCAC